CTGTGCCGCCAACTTGAATAATTCAGGCTGGCTTGGCAGCAGCAGGTGCAGTGAATTATGTATGTGTCCTCCAAGGCTTTGTGCACATACTCAGCTCATCTCCCCTCTCCGAGCACCCAGGAAGAGCCAGGGCTGCCTTTGTCCGGCGGGCGCTGGGTCCCTGCAGAAGCTGCAGTCGCTTGTCCTCCCGGGAAGGCTGAGCTAAGGAACAATGTCCCTGCCTGTGGCCCCAGCCTTTGCCCAGGGCCGCCCGGGCTGAGCGGCTGACCGGGTATGGACTCAGAGGGGTGGTTTACGGTGAATGGTTGGAAGTATTTGGTTAAATGGCATCACAGTGGCTCTTACCGGCTGTACCCAGGTAAAGTCCCTCATCTGTCTGTCACCTTGTCATGGTTGTCAGGGCAGGCTGACTGCGGCCCTCAGGTATGTTTCCCCTGGGGGTGGGGGTGGGGGCAGGTGTGGGCTGGGCTGTGTGGTGCTGTGTGGCCGGGGTCCAGGTGGGCTCAGAATGGGACAGGGTGCGGGTGAGATGGCTGTGTGCTCACTGCAGACGCTCAGCTCGGGGTCGCTGCCGAGCTTATAACGTAGCTGACACGGTGAGCCTATAACATTAATGTGGCAGCATTTCCTGTTTTCAGCAAATCTGGAACAGACTTTTAAAACTTTCTGGAAAAGCAGTTGCTTAGTGTGCATGGGGCCTTGGGTTCTCCAGCACCTCAAAAAGAGAGAGAGAAAGAAAACGAAGGAAAGAAGAGAGAAATGAAGGAAGGAACTTTCTTGTGAGGACAGCATTTCTTTGACTCATGGTCAAGTAAAAGAAAAGCCCCATGAATGACCCAACCTGCCAAGTGTTCGCCGCGGGCAGTGGTGGGAACCCGGGGCATCTGTGCGTCAGTGGCTGTTTGTATCGTTGAAAGCTCCGAGGGGTTCGATGTCACCGGCCTAGGTGACAGGGTTTCCTGGGTGTCTTTTCTCCTCAAGCTTAGAATACAGTGTGTGGTTTTACAAAAATACTCAATCCCGAGGGTCGGCAGGTGACTCAGGTGCAGTGCACTTCAGAACAGGCGTTTGCCTCCCGGCCTGGCTGGCAGCTGTTGGTGCTGTGGCCCTGTGAGGACTCCCACTGCCTCCGAGAGCCAGGCACAGCCGGGCCTCCGTGGTCTGCTGTTCTCCGCGAGAGCGAGTGGCTCCCCAGCCAGCTGTGGGTCGGGGGGTGCCGGCTGACGCGTGTGTCGAGGAGGGACTGGGTTTTTGTGCGGTCGTGCACCGCCGAGCAGAGGTGCTGAGATTTTGGCCCTATAGGAACACCTCCTGCCTCAGCCTCTGCAAGAGGCTCTTCTACGCATATGTTCTCTCTCTCACAAGTCATGGGCACAGGTTTTGTTCAGGAGGAGGTCTTCTGATGGAAGAGTTCTGTGTGGCCACTGCCACAGAGCTGGCACTGTCTCTGCCTGCCCATCGTGACGCATGGGTGAGGCCTGCAGGTGAGACTATCCTCGCAGGCAGCGTCCCGGGCATTGCCCCAGCACCCTCCTTGCAGCCTCTCCACAGGCCCCAGCGTCAGAGAGGAGTCATCAGCGGCCCCATGGGTTACAGGCAGGAGGAGCTGAGTCTTGGCCTGGGGCAGCCAGCACACCGGGCACCATGGCCTGCCCAGCTGTCAGGGCAAGTAGCTCACTGGCAGCTGAAGTGACTGGTGTCTCACTGAGCAGGTCCCTGTACCCTGGCCTCTCCTCCAGCCCAGCTCTCCCTTGTCATCCTTGCTGCCTGAGGCTGTCTTCTGGGGGCTCTGCCCCTTTACACGACGCCTGAGAGCCAGGCTGACCCGCACCTCGCAGCGGTGTGATTTCATGGTGCAGGGACACCGGGCCCCAGCTGATTACTTTTTCAGCCATGGTAAAGGGTCTTGATAGACTTTCAAGCTGTCCAGTATGAAGGTGTGAGTTTTGTGAAGTCCTTAGTATTTGCCACCTCTTATAAAAATGAGTTTAGTCGATGTGCAGACTGTCTTTCACTTACACATTCAATCACCAGTAACGCATTCATTCCACAAACGCGGCACCTCCTGCAGTCAGCAGTGGGGTGAGGGCCAGGGCTGCCCCAGGCAGCTGGCCTTGGGCTGGGGGACAGACAGAACTCCAGATGTGCAGGGTATGGCCTTGGGGCTCTCTGAGGAACAACGCTGGTGGGGAAGTGTGTGGCCTCGCACTTGCAGAGCATTTAGAAACTTGCATTTTGTGAGGGTCACCTCACTCATCAGTACAAAGGACAGCAGGCTGTGGCACTGTCACTGGCACCTGGATGCCCAAGGTTGCACACTGGGCAGTGTGAGTTCTGGTTCTTCTGCCCAGCTCTTTGCTTTTCAGGGTCTGGTTACCTCCTCCTGGGCTGGCACTGGCCGAGCCAAGTGGGTCAGAATACCACTGGTCCCTGGTCCTTGTATGGGTTTGACATGATCTTGCTTTTAAAAAATAAGTAGTGGACACTTGGAAGCTGGGGTTCAGACAGAAGGGGGATCCTTCTGGGCTCTGTGACTGGCATGGTGCCCACTGTGTGCCGACCTTGTGTTGGTGCTGTCTGGGATGGCATCTGGCTGCCCCAGCCTTGAGACCCCACAGAGGCCGGAGGTCCTGACCCTCCCCCAGGCTTCATGCAGAAACAGCTGTTGGAACGCTGGCCTGGGACTCCGGGGCTCCCGCACGTGTGTTTTGATTGGTTTTTACATGGGGATGATCTGCTGAGGCTCTGTCCAGTGGGCAGGGGGGACCTGAGCCCTGGTCTTGGCCAGCCAGGTGGCTGCGGAAGGGCAGAGCCTAGGTCCCCTGCAGTGCATGTCCGTGAGGTTAACCTTGTGTCCGTCTATTCTAGGGCCTTATTCTGCTTAGCGATGGTCGCACTGCCCTCTGCCTCCTTTCGGTTCTTCTTTCTCTTCCTGCGTGTAGCTGTCCTTACGGGAGGGGAGGCTCCTGGGGGTCTGTGCGTACCGCAGGTCTTCCCAGCTTCCTGTCCGTCCGTGGCCTGAGCGTGTGCTGGGGGCACATGGAGATTCAGATCTGCGTTCTGTTTCCCTTGGGGACATTGCTTACTTGGGAATGTAAAGAACCTCCCAGATCCCTGTGGTAGTTCTCTGGTTTCCTTTTTTGCACTTAAACCAGTGGGGCCTGAGTGCTGAAGGAAGGAGTCAGGATGGATTTTTTTCAGATGTGGTCTGGTTCCTGTTCCCATGGTCTTAGTCAGGGAGCACCCAGGGCTTCGTCTCCCACCCTGGGTGCAGCTGACTGCCCAGCACCCACCCATCCCTGTGGGCATGTCTGGTGGCAGCCATGGAGCCAGCCCTGCCTGGTTGCTCCCTCGCCCGCCCAGTCCGGACGGAATGTCTCCCACCGGGAATGGGTCAAGCACACACGTGCACTTAGGGGCCGTCGCTGTCTGGGCTGCAGGTCCTGGATGTGGATCCGATGTGGAGCCAGCCCCCGGGAGGGCGCTGGGGAGATGCGCGAGAGTGTGTTCCCGTGAGTGTCTTTGCCTCACACGCACAGATGGGAGAGCTGTCCTTGTGGGGCTGGGCATGGGGAATCTTTGAGGTGGTGCAGTCCTGGTCCCTAGCACTGCTGGCCGCACTGGCTGCTGCCTTCCCATTGGAATGTCCCTAGGCGAGCTCAGGATCTCCTGGGCAGGCCGATCAGAGCTGCGCACCGGCCCAGCCACAGGTCTCCCTCATGTCCTCGGGGGAGTCCATGGCTGATGCTGAGCGAATGTTGATCTTAAAAATAGCACAGACAGCATGGTGGTTCAGAGCAGAGCTTGTGAGAATTCGGAGCCTGTTATGTAATGGCTCGAGAGTCTTGTTTCTGTAGTACTGTACATTATGGCTCCTCTCACTTTTCCCTTCTTTAATCTGCTGCTGGTTGAGCTGTGAGCAGCTGCTGCCAAGCTCGGTCACTGATGGCGGCACAGACCCACAGGCTGTGTCGCGGGGCCTGGTGCAGCTCTCCCGCGGCAGGCCCGCGGGTGTTCCCAGTGCCACCCAGGTAGCACAGGCAGAGAGGTTCACGGTCCCTGCTGCTCACCTCCCGGCCTTCTCCCTGTCCTCCCCGTGTCCCTGCTTGTTGTGAGGACACTTCAGTGTCTGGCCTTCAGCTGGAGTCCATCAGCCAGTCCCCAGAGCCCTGTCCTGTGGCCTTGGCCATGTAGCAGGCAGCCTGGTGATCTTCGGGCCGGCTATGGGTCAAGTACAGAGGAGGGAGCCAGAGGGGAGTGAAACGGATGCAGCATCAGCATCTCAGAGAGCACGAAAGCATGGGAAGCACTTGTCACGTGTGGGCCACCTTTGCCGGGTTGCCAGGGTGGCACCTGCCTTGCCAGCCATTGGCTGGCTGGGGCTCAGGACCTGGTCACCTCTGAGGAGAGCCCTACACTTGGGACATGTCCTGGCAGAACTGCAGCTGTTCCTACAGCATCTGTGCCCACTGGCCTGTGTCCCTCATCAGGCCCAGCTGCCCTGGGGCACCAGGACACCACCACACTGCCCCCTCAGTGGCCCAGCTAACAATGTATTCCCACCCCGATCGCCGTAAATGGGTCGTCAGGTGACACAGGTTGGATCCACACATTTGGACAGGGTGCCTGATGTTTCCCCTGGGAAGCAGCCACATGAAGAAAAGTGCACAAGTCACAGAGGAGAGCGTGGTGTCCCTAGGCCTCCCCTCGATGGGCTTGCGTCCGATCACATCCTGTCACAGGGCGCTGTGCGGGCTCGGTTCCTCCTGCTCTGTGTGCACAGTCATGTTTTTGGGTAGCTGTCTCTCTTCTCATGCTGTGCTCGTCGTTTGGCTTTTCAGCCGGGCAGGTGTGTGTGAGGGTGTGCAGGTGGGTGTGGCCGCATGGGCTGGTCATCAACTGAGCACCCAGGTGTGAAGAGGGCAGAGCTGGACACAGGGGCTCCGGTGACTTCTGGGGGAGCAGGCCAGGGCCGCAGGTGCGTCTGTGCTGGTCCACAGAACTGACAGGTGCTGACCTGAAGGACTGCGTGAGCAGCAACAGCCTGAGCAGCAATGCCAGCCTCCCCAGTGTGCAGAGCTGCCGACGCCTGCGTGAGAGGAGGGTTGCCAGCTGGGCCGTGTCCTTCGAGCGCCTGCTGCAGGACCCTGTTGGTGTCCGCTACTTCTCTGTGAGTAGGCAGAGCTGCCTGAGGGGGACCCATTCCTGGGAGACTTGTGTCACTCTGCAGGCCCTGTGCGGCCCTCAAACAAATGTTGCCTTGTCCCTGCTCCTACTTGGGGGCCTGGAGTCAGGTGGACCTAGGGAGGCTCGCTTGGCCCTGTCCTGTGCCGCCCCCTCACCCCAGGACTCCCCTCCCTAAGCCCTCTGCAGCAGGGTGCACGCAGCTCCGTGGGCTGGAAGCCAGACGCAGACCACCAGAGGCCAGCGTTGGGAAGACATGGCCCCCTTAGGGAAGCAGCTGTGGGCACCAGGGTGTGGTCCTTCGGGGGCTGCTTGCTTTGCGGTTCCCTTTCAGGGTCATGGGGGCTCCCTTGAGGCTGTTGCCCCAGGTTTCTGCAGAAGCACAGGGAGACATCTCCATCCCCGGAGGGGACCTCGAAGGGTGCCGCTCACCTCAGGGTGTTTCTTGTAGGACTTTCTAAGGAAGGAATTCAGTGAGGAGAACATCCTGTTCTGGCAGGCCTGTGAATATTTTAATCATGTTCCGGCACACGACAAGAAAGAGGTAGGTTTGCCAGCCCGCGGCTGCGCAGGCGGCGGGCGGGGGCGCGGTCGGGCGGCCCGAGTTCATGCCCAGCGCGGGGGGAGCAGTTGACGAGATGTTTCCACGCGAGCTGAAAAAGGTCGTTTCTTTTTCAGAGTAAAGTTTTAAATATGTGTGATATTTAGTTCTGCCTAAACATAGTGGTGCAAATGCCTGGAGCCGCCCAGCTCCCACCAGCAGACACGTCCCTCTCCATGTGTTGGAATTTTGAGGAGGGGACCCAGGGAGATTCGCGGCAGAGCCCACCCTGTGCTCTGTGTGACCACTCTTCTCCCACCCCAGTGGGTGACGCAGGCGTCCTCAAGTGGAGGCCGAGCCCCTTGCTCTCCTGGGCTGCGCTTTGCCAAGAGCTCCCGTGTGACTCCTGCGGGCCGGGGCGGGCAGGGTGGCGGTGCCTGTCTGGGGCAGTGGCCGTTTGGAAGCAAGGGGAGCAGTTCACCCAGTTTCTTACCGACTTGACCTGCATTCACGCACTCGAGCTGGAAATGTGCGTGGGTGGTGATCGGGGACGTGCCCAAGCAGTGTGGCCATGACACGGGCAGAAACGCACTCTGTGCCCGCGTCCCGCTGCTCAGACCTCTCTGCCCTCAGCTCTCCTACAGGGCCAGGGAGATTTTCAGTAAGTTTCTGTGCAGCAAAGCTACCACGCCCGTCAACATCGACAGCCAGGCCCAGCTGGCGGACGACATCCTCAACGCGCCACACCCGGACATGTTCAAGGAGCAGCAGCTCCAGGTAACCACGAGGCCCTGCGGTCCCCAACCGACGATCACCCATGTGTTTGGGGGAAGTGACATCCCCAGGGTGACATGGCTGTAACAAGCCTGTCACGAGTGAAGGGGTCTTCGGTTCAGCTGACCCCGCATGATGCCACGGCTCACCACGTGGCGCGCTTCATGTCGTGGTGCCTGCTGACTGGGGGTCAGCCAGAGCCCTGTGCCTACGAGGGCAGCAGAGGGGAGAGGCCCAGGCTCAGAGCCTGCAGTCCG